GGCTCCTTCCAGGGCAGTGCAGTGACGTGCAGTGGCGCCTGGGAGGCTCGTAGGTGCCTAACGTACCTCTTTTCCCGCGAACTAATCCCCTAGAGAATCATCTGGAACCCTTCTACCGATCCAGTGATCCCCCGGAGCATATTTATGAGGAGCTAATCCCGTGGCTACGTTGATAGATCTAACATAAGGGTTCTACGGCAAGTGAGCAGGTAGGGGGTACAGTAGACTGGGGCGGGGGAAAGAACCGTCCCGTTTGAGATCGACCTGACATACTCAATTTATTGGTTCAAAATCGGTATTAAAATGTCTGAGAATCATCTATTAGGATCAGACGATTTCGGGAAACATTTTGATGCATCCATCAACCTTCCTTAAACATCCGTTGCCTGCATGGTAGCACCCTGCTGTGCAACGACATGCGGCTTCCCACATACACCAACAGGTACCGTTTGTGCCGTTTTTCTTTTCTTTTTCCCTTCATGCCCCCTTGTTCCCAACCCTTTCCGTGCCAAGCAGCCGTCGTTTGCGGGAGGGCGGGCAAGGCCTCCAGAATTCCACTGTTTTCTACAGAGCCTAGCCTCCATCATGTCAAGACCTGTGAGTATTCATGAACTTGTGTAGAAACCTACTGATAGTCATACTCTCCAAGAATAGTTGTTTTTCTCTCCGGAAGAACGATCGATTACCCTCCCTCCAATATCGAACTACGATGCGTCCCAAGCGTTTTTCCCTCCGTTCCATCTATTCTTGCCTCGAATAAGATCATGCCACTTGAACAATTCCTGCCTCACAACGACCATGGAGGTATTTTAAGTGTTCTTGCCACTAGGATAATTCTCTAAATCGACCGGCGAACAAACCATCGGATGTAGAGTACCCAAAAAGGAGTCAATCCTACGATTCCCTTCTACCAACAATCATCCTACACGAGCGTTGTGAAAGAAATTATGGCCCATCATATTATCCTACATAATATTCCACATCTAGTTCAAAACAAAGGAATGCTCTTGTTACTCTCGTCTTTTTTTTTCGGAGCAAAGAAAGAGCATGTCCCACCCAGAATTGCACTGAAAACCCAACATCACGTAAATGTTTTTCTTTTCCACTTCGAGTTCCCAAGCCTACTGGATGATCAAATTATTCAAGGGAAGTTTTGATGCACGGGTGGATGCTTTTGGCTGCACAATCATCATCCGTCAAAAAGGGGCCGCCAGAGTTTGGTCTGGAAACTTTTTGGTTCTCATCCTTCGTCGACGACGTGCGTTGACGAGCGTCAACGATCAGGAACGCCTGGGCCCCACATCAACTTTAAAAAAAACACGACAACAACAGCATGCATTCTGCCACTTTGTGACATTTTCTAGTAGCTTTGCTCACAAATCTTGCTCATTCTGCGTGTTGTGTTCAAGCTAAATAAGCATACAGCTTTCAAACATCAAGCAGTTGATCACGCACAAAATTGTTTCACCTCAACGCTTTCAACACCTTGGTCAAGCACACCGGCTTGCTTCCTCCTTGAATAACAAGTGTCAGTCCCATCGATGTCTCGCGAGTTCAAACTTTTTCAGGCCTAATTTACCTACCTGCTCTCTTCCGCAAACCTGGATCTGCCGTATCAGAAACCCAGAATTGGTAGAGCAAGGGACACACAGTCAGAAGGGACACACAGTCAGCAGTAGACACTGTCAGAACGACAAGAAACGATGAAATATTGGACCTCTATATCATATTTGTTGCTAAGCCTTATCATGCCCAAACGCCCTCCATGCTATGACTAGCCAAATAAACCCAAAAGGAAGGAAAAGTTGAGTAAATACAAAGCCACCGCGAAGCATCAGGTTGAATCAAGTATTCTCAAACGAGCTTCACATCGCTCCTCGGGTTGCTTACGACTGTGTAGGCCTAGTGCTAGGGCCTGGCTCTCCCCCGGGAGCTGGCTTTTCCTTGCCCTTGCCCTCATCATCGCTGTCGTCGTCGGCAAGGGCGTACCTATCGGCTGTAGGTGTCTCCAGATGAAGATCATCCAGCTCGCTCTCGTCAAAGGCTGATGCTTCCAGGTCGGCGTGCTCCCGCTTCCTACGGAATCTACTCAGATCCGAGTCGCTGGGGTCGTTTCCGCTCACAGCCTGATACGAAGCTCGCTTGCGTCGCTCGCGCCAAATAAAGAAACCCCAGCCACAGGCAGCAACCGCGACGATGACGAGAACAACCTCGCCCGATCTGCGGTACGCCTGCCACTTCGCGTCATCCACCTGCTTCTGGTGCTCCTCCTCGCTAGGGTTATAAGGATTAGTGGCGGGGATGCTTGGGGTTTCCTTGCCATCAATATGGCTGTCGATCTGATCGCGGCTCACGGCTACTCCCATGAAACGGTCGAGCATATCCCGAGAGCGTTGGGGGTGATCGAATGGCACCATGTGAGAGGCTCCCTTAAAATGGACATACGTCAGATTTCGGGCCTCTTGCCAGAAACCCGCGTCCTCGCCCCCGAACCGCCAATTTTGACGAGGGGCTGTCTTTTCATTATCCACCTGGAACCCTTTGAGGCCACCCCATTCCAGCGCATTCATCAGTCTCTCCGTCCCATAGTAGCTGCAAATGAGATCCTCCGCTCCGGAAAACAAGAGGACTCTAATCTCCTCAAGCAGACCGGGTAGGAGATGGAAGGAAGGCTTCGAATTTTTCGTATTGAACGCCTTGCCCACGTTCCTATTGCACTCTGACCAGCCCTCTTTGCCGTTGTCGTTCACGTGAAGGGCATCCAAAACCGCTCTCTTTCGGAGGTAGGGTTTGATATGGACCAGGTCCGGGGGCCAGTTCATGCCGCAGCTAGGGAAGCTGTCCTTCAGGCGGATGTCGTACATGTTCACACAGGCGTCGTCTCCATTTCCATTCTTCAGCCACCCGAGCATCCTGGCCAAGATCTGTTCACAGTCATGGTACTCCACCTTACCAGGATCTTTCTTCATGGCGTCGTCGCACTTCTGGACCTGGCCCTTCAGCTTCTCATGAATGGCTGAGTCCCTCTTCACCAAACCCTTGTCCAGCGCAAAATCCAGGTAGGCATGGTACTGGTATGTGGGAGAGATGTATGCGTTTCCAATCATAAAGCCCTGCAGACCCCATCGCTTGTTGGGATTCTTCTTGTTGCGGTCGAGAATGGCCCTGGCGATGTACGGGATGTATTGGCCTGCGTAGGATTCTCCAGCGAGATAGATCTACCGGTTGTCAGTTATAGGAGAAAAATCAAACTTATGGAGGGTCTCGACCAACATCATTTGTTTCGTAATGGGGAAAGAGCTTAAAGAATTTCTCGAGGAATACGACGATATTGTCTGCCATGGTCCCCAATTCGTGAATATAACTGTCAGTGTCGACGTAACTGTAGCCCACACCGACCGGGTTGTCGATGAAGAGGAGGTTGGCATATTCATTCCAGCTGCCGTTGGAGTATACGAGGGTGTTGTCGTCTTTCAATCGATAGGGGCCGACCTCCATCAAAGCGCCATCCTCGGAACTACAGCCAGGACCTCCATTGAACCAGATGACAGTTCGCTGTCTATCGGCAATATGTCGATTCTCGAAGTGCCAGAAGAAGAGGTTTCCATTGTGCTCGGGCGTAACCTCGATATGCCTGCACGTTCAGATAGTCGGGTCAGTATCACCATTGACATCTCAAGCTTAGGTGCTGATGGCCTTCCAACATACCCTGCGTGCATGTTCACGGGTTGGGGATGGCTCGGGAGGCCAGGAAGGCTATGAACATAGTAATCGCTTGCGGATTTCTCGGCAACAGCAACGGCAGATTGCCATGCACCCAGGAGGAGGAGGGCTGGCCATTGTCGCATGCCGGCGGCCATCCAACGTAGAGCCATGGCGTCAGCGACGGCGGCGACGACGGCGCAGGGGGAGGTTCGAAAAGGAGTGTATGCGACCCAGCACAAGATTCTGCAAGTCAGTGATGAGGCTAACCAAATAAAAGAAAAATTATCTGCGAACCATGAGTTGATTTGACTCGGATGGTCTGCAGCGAAGAAGGGGGTGTTCCAGGGCGAACTTGACAGAGATCTGTTTTGAGCTTACGACAGGGCTTAATAAGGGACGGAGCGTATAACTTCTAGCAGCGGGAGGCGTCGACCACAGACTAAGCAGGCAGCGCGCGTGCTAAAATTATAATGGGTGGAGGCAGGCTAGAATTCATTCAACCGACCGTTTCGAAGGAATATTACACAGCCATGCTCTGCACATATTGGGTACTTCAATGCGCACTGCAAATGCAGTCAGATCCAAGTACCCTTATATCAGTGGCCGTAGCTCTGGTCATGGTCGGGGGCCATATTGCCGTACCGGGACTAGCTCCGCCTCCACGGCAGGATCCTTCACCACTAGACGATTTCTCCACGCAATTGCACCTATTACCTACCTAGACAGCAGCTCTGTGATTTGTTGCATCTTACAAGGTGCCTACCCTATGCCTACCTGTTTGATTTGATTTTTGGCATGTTGGATATTTGACCGCAGGAAAATTGTTATGAATCTCAAATACATTTAGTGTTTTACTGCAACCAGACATTCGACCTTTTTCTTGGGGTCTACCATTTCTAGGTCCTGTGGCTTGTTTTGTTACTACATTTGGGTCTCAATTAACAAAGTGTGGTGGGGAGAATAGCGATTGAAGGTTTAGGCTCTATCACACATTGCACCAGTGTACAATAGCTTAACATAAAACACCCATTGTGATTTCGGTCTTCTCCAATAACATTAGGATTTCTAGAACGCCCCTCACACTGGTCCAGCTCTTGGGTTCGGGACATAACTACGCCGTTGTTGGTTGGTGATGTACCGGTTTATCAGTAGAGGTAGGCCTCTGATAGGCCTCTCCACACTGCTTTGCTCCGCAGTAAGTGGTAGACGATTTAGCTTTTCACTTCTTTCCTACCTACCAACACAAACCACCCCTTGCATTTGTCCGGCTAGCTCCCATCAGCTAGCAATAAATCATGAGCCCTTCATCCAAAACCTTCATTGTCGAGCATCTGGACCCGGAACTTGGTCCGTGGTCTGAGCTCGAGTACATCGCCATTGCCAAGGAGTCCGAGGCCGCAGGTAGCACCTTCACCCTTTCCAGTCTCCCACCCGACTTTCAAGTGCCTTCGGCCCTGAAAGCCGTCCCTGCTTTTGTTGCCGAACACCGTGGAGTTGAGGAGATTTACGCTGCCGATAAATCCAGAGTCTGCCTCCTAGACCCGGCAGCATCTCAAGATCTTTCCCCAGCAGACGGTGACAAGTTTGATGCTTTCTTGTTTGGAGGCATTCTCGGTATGTGGTGACCTTTAAATGCGACTTTTGAAACTTGGAAGCTGACATTAAATAGGCGATGATCCCCCACGGGGTATGTGGATTTGATATTGAGTACTGTTTGTGCGTGGACTAACTGGCCCTCGGCAGATCGAACCTCAGAGCTCCGCAAGAAAGGATTCGAGGGACGCCGACTGGGGCCTACGCAAATGACTACCGATACTGCCGTGCGAGTAACTCGTATCGTGGTGCAGGAAAAAGGTTAGTCTGCTCGGATCTCTAATAAGTGTTGCCGACTGACTTGACCACCACAGTGGCTCTGGACAAAATCGAGTACCTTGACTTCCCAGAGCTCAAATTTAATGAGCATGAGAGCACCCAGATGCCTTTCCGCTACGTAAAAGGCAAGGATGGTGGCCCCATTATGCCAGAGGTAGGATTGAGCCCCGAGTTTGACTATGGGAGAGAAGGCGAAGCTGACTTGTTCAATGCAGGGCATGAAGGAGCTCATTCAACAAGATGCCGACAAATCATTGGATGATCTGATCTAGTCGAAAAGAGACCATCTTATACACAAATAGGCAATAAAAAAAGACGACATGAACTCATTAGGACTGGATCAATGACCTGGTGATTGCTGACCACTGACCACCGAGGACTGTGCAGTATTTATCGCCGGTGGATTGATTTGTTTGTGCTATTTATTGCGGTATGAGAGGGGATGGAATTCCGCGTTAACTTTATGTGTGTTGGCATTTTCGCAGCAGCAATGGTGTTGGCCCATATCGTCACCTCAGCCATTCACTCACCCAATGGAATCAGATTGTTTGACTCCTGCCCAGGGATTTGACCAACTCGCATGGCGCAAGTCGAGATGGCGATGTATGACCGATATCTACTATCATCTCACCTGGATCGGTCGTTCTTGTGGCTTTCGTTGGTTGTGCTTTTGCTCTGCGGCGTCGTGAACTACCTAGGTGGTTATCGCCACGTTTTGCCGTGCGCCGCCTCATTTTTTTTTTGCGTTTAAAGCCACTTGGATCCGAGACAAGTTGTGTGAGAAATCGGTATAATTAGCTTGTCTTGTGCTCCTCTGGACAAAGATGACAAGATTGAAGCTTACTCTCACGAGCCATCAGGATACGGACAACTTGCGCTGTTACCCAAGTAGAAAACCGCGGAAATTCTCTTGATTTTTAAAACAACTAAAACAGAAAACGACGATAAGGTATAAATTTAGCTATGAATCGACAGAAAAGAACACAGTAACGCATTGGATCTTATTGTGTTCACATCTCAGCACGGCCAGTCAGAAGGATGAGAGCAAGACCTGGCCATGAAGCCTCAATGAGAACGGGGAAGGTATGGAAGACAATCAGGCACTTCTCTTCACTTTTGCACACAGAATGGACATTGATAAATATTTACTTTAAATTGCATGTGGTAGTTCGAGTCTTTACAAAACGAAGCAATGGGAATTGTTCGTAAATGAGAATACTGTAGTTGGACGAAGGGCCTTGACATGTGCAATCAACTGGTCTCGCTCAGTGAGCTCAGTGTTACGGCACAGTGAAATCTGATTCTAACAGGACACATGGCATCAGCTTACACAGCAGATGGGCTATTGTATTCGATGTTGATCGATGTATTTTCACTAGTTGTCTGCAACAATGAGGCACGCTGCGAGAAACTAGAACTTTGAGAGAAAAGGCGAGAGCTCATATCTACTAAGCGTTTGAAGGGCTTCTAGATTTTGCCTCTAGTACTGAATCTTAAGAATATTCTTTTAGCTGACAGAACTTATCCAGTATCAATCCTCATACTTTGATATTTCCTCTATCAATGCAACTGGGGAGACTTTTCTAGGGCCCATTCTACAAGAGTGAGAACTTAGTGGTCTCGATTGTTAGCTTTCTCGGGTTGCAGCCGACTTACGTACGAACCGAGCGAGATTTTGGACCACGAGACCAACTACATCGGCAGAATTAGCTTTCGTTTGTTGACCTGACGCTTCCAGGGTATCGTTAGGCTCAGCTTTTGCGCCTGAAAGTGGCGGCATGTGATTATACATCATCTCGGGAATAGCTGGGTAACATCGCTGCTGCGCTGGCAGTGTGCCCTATGCATGTCGATGTATATGCGATCTGAGCTGCAACTCTATTGTTTGAAAATGGTACTATATGCGCCTGTTGTCTCCCTTTCGTCACCTTATCACCACTGATATAGCTTTAAACGCTATGTGAATGATCGATTGTCCGACTTGCCCGTCAGCGGTGTTATGAACGGCTGCAGGCGTGAGCAACCTAACTGCCAGAGCGCAGCCTGCCCAGACACTCCCCGTGACTGGAAGAACCTCCACTTATACACGAGTCCACTGACAAAGGAGCTCCTGTCCCAACTTTGTGTGAATCTGTAGGTTGACCCCGTAAGGGGCACTGACGTTGGACTAGCTTGAATTCACCCCGGGCATTATCCACACTTGGGTCGTTTCAGATCATCCCATGGCAGGGCCGCGCCAGAACAAGGTGAAAGTGACTCGTTACCTATCTTGGTATAAACGAGGGCGTCACTATGCGTTGAAAGTTAAAGCCAGATCACCCCTTGGACGGTTAGCATTGCTTTGGTGGTGTGATACTCAGAAAGAAACCGTTCTGTCCATACTGCTCCATCTGAAGCCGCCTTATGGCACTTGCATCTAAGCAAGGCGAAGCCTACAGTGAAGATTAACAAATGGAATGTCGGAAGACCTCCACCGAGAGATGAAACACGTCTGGCGTAGGCGTTTGAAGAGGCAGATAGTCGAATACTCAGACAAGGGCCTTGACAGCAAACCTCTGACAACCCCAAGACAGCTGGCGCCTATCATGCAGCGGACGACGTCTCATGCCGTTGTCGATTCTTCCCAGGCAGCTGGTAAGTGCCCTCTCTCTCCGGAAACGGAAGACGATGGCATCCAGCGCAGACAACCCACTTACTCAGACCTATTGGATGGCTCCAGCTCACTTTGGACTAAACTCATGGCGTCTTGGCTAGCCCTCGACGATCGGGCATTACTTCTCAACTGAGAAAGGAGCGTGGGTGACGGTGCGCACAGTCATGGATACTCGGTCCCTGGCATGCGGGCTGGGCTCAAACTTGAGAGTTGGACTTTTGTCCCTTCCTCCTGTTGTTCAGCCCATCGACGGCGACCCCCACCCGGTGGCTGCGCGGAAGTCGGTAGGCGATACGGTTTTGTGCGCTATCACGACACCTTTGGGGAGCTTAGTCTGAACACAACTGATGGTTTCTGGAAGATCGCAAGGTTGGACTAAAGCAGGATAAGGGCGGTGGGTTCGGGCGCAAGGACTGAGGGCCTTGGGAGGAGCCAGGCTCTTAAAGCAGACGATAGGCATGAATGGAAGCCACAGCACCTACATAGAGGAGACGTCCATAGGTGGTAGTTTCCGCGATGGCCCCGTCTCTGCGCCTTCCCGGCCTTAGGGCTTGGAGGAGGAGGAGGAAGGTGGCAGCGCTAAGGCAGGTCGCTGGTGGCCAGCAGGCGCGGCAGGAACGGGCGGGCAGCTCCTTGAGCTTGAGCGCGGATGATCTTCCAACCCCTGATTGCCAGCCCCCACCAGCAGCCAGGATGGACCAGACCGTTTTCGCAAGCCTGTCCCTTCTTCGTTTCTGCTCTTGTCGGGCCTGCCTGCCCTCAGCTTGACACATCCGGTCCTATTTCTCCAAGACGGGCTCTCCAGACGAGCTCCAGACGGGGTCCGGTGGTCAGATCCACCTTCATGATGCCTGCCGCTGCTCGAGGCTGCTCGGAGAGAGATCCCCGCCGCACGGAACGTCGTATCTGCTGTACCTCACACATTGGCCGGTGCTGGAGGTACCTTGGGCAAGCAGCACGGGCCAGAGCATGGACGCATAGCGCGCTCCGAGTCCGTTCTCGCCCTAGGCGCCTTCGATGGGTGCTCCTTCAGGCGAAAGTCTGGGAGCAAGAAGCCCCGGAGCCTGCTGGAGAAGTACGGTACTAGTGTCACATATGGAGTCCTCCGTGCTTCTCCATGCTCCAGCTCCAGTCCAGGCTCTATCAATGCGAAACTCTCCCTGCCTGCCCCGTCTGCTCCCGTACAAACGAATCGCCGGCAGTGCCTTCACCCCTATCTTCGCCCGTCCTCTGGCCCATCTGTTCTCCTCCATCTTATCCCATCCTGCCCCATCCCATCCATCCCATCCTTGCAGGGCTGCTAGCATGCCTTGAGCTACTCGTCTCTTCCTATCTTCCTGCTTTAGCCCCGGAAGTTCGTACAAAGCGGGCAGGGACCACTGCAATGCTTCCACCACCCTTGCTTGGCCAGCACTTTGGCTCTCAAAATCTTGATTTTGCTGGCCAGTTCCTCCAACCAGCATCGTGCCAGGCCAAGATCCGCCAGAGCTGTTTCGCATTCTGACCGTCTAAAGGCTGGACTAAGCTTCCAGTCACAGCGGACACCAATACCACACCACCTCCCAGTGCGCTGGTGCCCTGACCAGGCACATCATGCCTTCTTCGGGCCTCCCAAGGTGCAACCTACCATTACTGCAGTCGAACCCGTGCGCTGCAGAAGCCGACAATGCGACCTCACAGCGCGCGTGGTTCTAATTTCGCGTATTTAGCATAGAAGAGGTATAGGTCCTTACGGCAGAGACGCGCTCGAACAGAGAGAGAAAATAAAACAAAACCGTCCTCATGCGTCTACCATTGACTCCATTAACGTGCATCGCATCATACCCGGGCTGGGCATTGCCTCTCCTGAGCCCGATCAGCTGAAACAAGACCCCTCCCAGCTTGCATTAGGGTCCGCGGAGTCACATACCCACCACACACCCAAGCACCTTAGATCGCATGACTTTCTTGTACGAATCACGGTATCATCGCATCGGATTGGGCTTTTGCATGAAGCATTTGGCAAACCGAAGCCGTCGCAGCTACCAAGTGCTGCCCGTCTTGTTTCAATCATCTCCATTCTCCAGCTTTTCAGCTGAGCCTTGCCTTGGCGCTTGCTTGTTGCATCAGTCTCTTTCTTCTGCTTGATCTTTTGTATTTTGTAATCAACCAGTAACCCTTGACCCTTCGGCTACCATGAAGAAAAAAAACGGTGAACTAGACAAGATGGGAGTGTGCCGGTTGACTACCGGTTGAGCTAATGGACGCACAATCATCTCACCACGGGCCTTGGCTGCTGATCTAACCACATATTTCTCCTTCTGGGCCGACGTGCTGAGCAATGCTACCGGCGGAGCGTGGTGCTACGTCGTGAAACACCGGATAACACTTCTCGGTGCAACCTAGTTGGGAAGCTAGAACCTTTACGACTGCATCTACGACGCGGCGTCGGGACGTTGCTTTGCGAACCTTTTTACCCGGAACCTTGCTTCACGCGTTACCAAACCTTGACCAACTGTTGTTAAATTGTCCGAGGAAAGCTCTCAGACCCATAGCACTGCAGTGTACGTAGATGTCTGTGGGTACCATGACTAACCGAGATGCACTGATGCAGCATATCCGTACTGGGAACTCCTACGGAGCATTACGTATCAAGCAATTCATGCAGCCAGGCAATGACGGGCATGAGCCACACACGCCCGGCGTACCCGCCATTGCGCTTCTCAAGCCCTCTTCTATTAGCATGTCCTTCATTCTGCTGTCCCTTTGACAGCTGATAATTGTCTGAAATATGACGAATCGTAATCGCTGCTAGCCTCGTCTGAGCACCATCCCGTGTTTTCCCATGAGGACCAACATACCGGACGTTTCCAAGCTTCGGCTCTATCGATCTGCATTTCCATTTGGTCGGTAGGACATCTGGGGCTCTAGAACCTTCTGGCTAGCCATACGTGGTCTTCCCTCGTTACACTAAGGAGCCCTCTGGCCATAGTTTCACATCTCCTGTGAGGGTCCCAGCATGCCAACCAACAACATACGGGCCATAATGTAATCCCCAGAGCCAGAAAGAAGCTTGTGCGGCGAAGACAGTCTTGTCCTTTGATCCATTCATCCGGGGCCAAGGCCTGCCGCTCCTTGCCTCGCTCTCCCTCTGTACGACTCCAAAGGCCCCTAGGAAGTCTCCATATGCTTTCTCGGGCAATTTCCCGTGGAGAGGACACTTCAGACGATTGTGAGACGTCGTGATCGAGAGAAATACCACCTCATACTAACGGGGATAGTCTCGTGTGTGGCAAGGATGCCCCTTGTCAACTCGCCCCCAAATGCCGAGCAGTAATACGACATGGAACCCCATTGTGGGACATGTAAATTCAAAGCAGGATAACTAACATTACTGGGGTCACCTTGGATGGCTTGACCAGTCGGAACCCTCATCGGCTGATGCCCGACAGACACCAGGCGCAGGCCGCCAACAAACATCGACTTGTCGACCCGTCATGCGCAATGTCTCCATTCCCCTGCAACAGCACGGTCTGGGTTCAGAATAGGAGCTTGGTTAGCAGAGTGATCATGCTGGATGCCGATGGCCACCCCCATGTTTTAGCTATTGTGCACACATACATGGTGCTGCTGTGCTTGCTACATGTCCTGGCCACTATCCTGATCGCTATCTGGCCCGGCATTTCGTGTCAACCAGTCGCAGAATTCCACACTCATGAGGCCCTTGACATGGCTTGAGCTTTGACTGCATCCCCTTTACGCCCGGGGCTACTGTGGCTGAAGACTTCAGTATCCTCTTTCATGCATTGCTCCCATAAGACCTCTCTCCCATATACTAAGCCCGGATTATGTTTTCATTTTGATTCTCGCATCTTCTCGCCGTCCTAGTCCAGCAGCCTTTGCCTCCTTTGTTGTAAAAGACTTCGCTATTAGTTATGCAAAGCAGCAGTCTTTCGTTCAAGTTCATTGTCAAGATACTCGGCCCTTACGATTTCGCTACGGCGTATGAGAGTCCCGCGCTACTTGCGACACAGCTATCCATATCCTGTTCGACGACGGGGGAATACCACCAAGATCAAGATAGTGTCAGCCAAAGCAGCAAGACATTCTTCAGTCTCGAGTGATCCATAGAAACAGGTACATTGTCTCACTGATCAGTCCGAAACTTATCCTCCGCCCCTTCTGCTCGACGGCGGGGATACGGAAATCTGATTTCGCTGCAGGAGCTAGTTGCGTAGTAGCGAGCAACCGATTGATACTCCCATGCTGGAGGTGTCATGGGGACTTTCGTACCGAAAGAAGATTCGGTTGCGCGTTGAGTTGCCGTCGCAATACCTTGGGGCAATAGAAGCCTCACATTGTCTGCTGCCGTGATGGACATCGAGTCACTTCTTAATAGGTCAGGCCAAACCAGCGAAGGAGGAAAGCAAGATGACTCTGTGCGTCCCGCACAAACACACACAAGGGAAGGTGATCAGTATAGTCTATCATCACCGATTCCTCCACTAGATTCAGCACTTGGAGCCCATAGCCAGGGACAGGGAGATGGTTATCCCGGCAACACTATGAGAAATGTTGCGCGAACTTCCATCTCCCTCCCGCCCATGCCCCCAGGACAAGACCTAACGTCATTAGATTCGCGTAATTATGCGATCTCCAGTCCGTTAGCAAACGATCCCACGCACTCTACGGATGGCGCAAGACTATCTGCCTTTAAGGCTCTGGCAAATCTGTCGACTAGATCTATGGGGAGGGAAGATAGCAGCCCGAACCCTTCTCCAACCGACTGGCGCAATATTTCACATCGATACTCGCATAGCCAGGGAAGCACGCAGTCCTACGTATCCTCATCATACTCTGGATCGCATACAAGATCGTCTTCAGCTACGACAATTGGCGATGTCAAATTGCCCAGCACGTTCCCGATAGAGCTCAGGCCGGCGGACACAAAACTTGCGACGGTGCGGGAAGATTCACCGATATTTATCCCAGCACGTCGCTCGGCAACCGACCCAAGCTTTCCAGCAGCTGCATCTAGAGGGCTGCCGTTCAGTCATGGAAGCCGGCAAGGCAGATCTCTTCACTCAAGAAGGCAGTCAGAAGCGATTCCAGCTCTGAGGAGGCTTGAGATCGACCCAGCGGGCACTTCACCGCACTTTAGGTACGTCACGAGGATGCTTCCATTTTGTTGTGCCTCTTACTGCTGCCCTTTGGCTAGAAAGAGTGAATCAGCGTCTTAGGCCACTTGGTTTTTCGCTTGCAATCGCCTTCTCACTCGCTCAAAAACCCCTACCTCTCCCCTGAACACTATTGTCGATTGTTGTAATGGCTATTATTGGCTCCTTATTGTCCCGCCGAGAGCGGTGACCTTATCGATCACGATGTTTTGACCATGATTCACTGCCGCGCACGAGCAGCCCCTTTCCTTTGGTTGCGTGAGCCACAATGGCTCTCATTCATTCATTGTGCCCATTCACCAGCAAGTTGCTGCCTGGCCTTTGGCTCTGCGCATTTCCTGTGCTGCGCGCTGACTATAAAGCCTTGCGTTTCCTCCCTTTTCGTTTACACTTTTCTGCTTAACCACCAGCCTCAAGAAGCCCTCCCTCTTCATTCCACCCTTTTCCTTAGCTTCTTCTTGGATCATTGAGGACTGATCGGCATACTGCAGCGGCTCAACTCAACCCATTGGAACTCGCCCCTGGCCGCCATTTAGCTTCCACAAGCGAGCAGTTTCAGCTCCTGCGCCTGTCACGCCCTCTGGTCATCATAGGCAGCCATCATTTTCTGCGATGGGTGACTACAGGCGTGCCCCTGGATCGCTAGCTGCTCTGAGAGAAGAAAGGAGCGAAGAGAGATACCCCAACTCGACAGCGATGACTCCATATGCCCCTTCTCCAGTGTCAACGTCGCCATCAGTCGAAGGCTTCTCAACGATGACTCATCCGGATCCAAATCAGCCTCAGAAGCCACAGTCTCTCCACGAGAACAGCTCGCATGCCAGTGAGGACGATTCAGAAGATGGCTCTTGGCTCTGCCACTGTACTCCCGGTTGCAAGACCGGAGCCGGCCCCAGAAAGGCCATCTCTCACTTCTTTGGCAGAAACAAAGCCTGCACGTTGCTGATTCCCAACAATGTCTGGGTCTTTTTCTGCCGAAAGCACTACCAACGGACCAGATACCGCAACGGCGGGTTGTATGCCAAGACTCAGATCAAACTTGTCCGGGAGCAGGCTACAAGGATCCAGAATTGGAGCCAGAAGAACATCGCCAAGGGGAGACCGACCTATCTCAAAGACTGGACCTTTGCCCTTCGCAAGAGAGAGCAGGAGCGTGTTGACGAGGCTCTCATGGCGCAGGGTGCGCCTGGTAATGGAGCGGAGTTGGATGACACCGATACTGTCGCGGATATCCCTAGATGGGTTATTAACAACTTGGGTGTTGGAAAGACCTCCGACCAAGTCTTTGAATTGATCAACCGCTTTCGAGATGAGCTTGAGGCTGGGAGGATCGATGACCTACCTGAGGTCGAGTTCCTCCCCAACATTGTTGGCGGCAACAGAACCGCCCCGGGTGCTACGGCTCGAGCTCGAAACCAGGCCAAAAGAAAGGCTTCAGAAGCAGGCGATCTGAGCATCGGACACAATGAAGGGAGCACATCGGCCTACAAGAGGGCCAGAACATTCTCTGGAGAGCGCGAGGCCGAGCCTCCTATGAGTCTCCAGACGAATACCAGCTTTATCCTTCCATCGCAGTCCTCGTATGTTACTGCTAGTAGTCGGTTTGATGCCACGAGTAGGCCGTTGCCAATTCAGCCTCGCCGTCGCAGCCCCCACCCTTCCGAGCCGAGTGGGAGATCAGTATCTGAGCAGAGGTCTTCTCTCTATGGTCAACCTATGGGGCCGTATGTTCCATCCGGGCCCCCCAGACGGGAATTCGAATCTCCCAGTCCATACACCTCTTCAAGTCAGCAAAGCACCATTGGCCAGCCTGCACGCCCACACATGGCCTTCAACGATCACCAGAGGCATAGCCCATATCGTTTTGCAGGCGAAGGAGCCACGCCGACTCATCTCAACAATTATGGAGGTTCATCTCAACATTCTCAAAGCGACGGCTAGTGCCCAGAAGCTCCAAGCATGTTCTTTCGCCAGACCACTGGCGTACCAGGGAGAGAGAACCTTCATCATGAACCTGTAAACACAGGTTCATTCCTACCTACTCGCATGGCAGCAGATCGGGCCGAGCCGCACCATCCCAAGCTGGCCTCGGGTGGTTTCCGTCCGGCCGATGCCTTGGAGTATAAACAGCAGAGCAGTCCTGGGTCTGGCTCTTATCCTTTGGCTTCTCATGGAGTGCCGCGGATTCCTGGCCCCTCTTCGTTCTATGATGACCGAAGCTACAGAAGTTCCCTTGGGAACTACTTTGAACTGCCTCTCCGTGCCAGAGAAGCGGCACAGGTCAGCCACCAAGGCCGTGCAATCTCGAGCTGGCCCAGCCAAACCGGTCTTGGCCGAATTGGCACTGTTCAAATGCTGCCCAGCCGCGATCCATCTTCCGTTGGATCTGGTACAGTCCCTGCCAATTCCGACGCAACTGGATCAAGCGGCGGCGACGACGACGGCGAGGACCAGGAGGATCTGACTTCTTGGACCCTCGTCTAACTTCTTGAACTTTTTACACTGGCATCATCACTTGGCCTTGCTGTCAGTCAGTCAGTCAGTCAAGCATCAGCTCTTCGCATTTTGCTTGCATCAATCGAGGCTAGGCCTTGATGTTCAAAGGGGGAAAGGGTTTCGGACCTTTCTCCACGCTGCTTCAGACATTGGACGCACTCCTCTGCGCCATGTTCTAATTCCAATTCAAACACACACATACACACGAGACACTATTATATAGCTAGCATATTGCTTTCAGTTCTATAGGGCGACCATAGGCACCACAGCAACAGACCAGAGCATAGAAACTTGTTCAAATCACCTGCTTTTCTTCGAACCTTTCGCGATCATCTCCAGCCGACAACAGATAAGACGTGTCGCTCGTCCGAATGCATGGGGTGTTGATATCATTTTCGAAATACACAGAAAAAAAGAACAAAAAGAAAGAAAACCCGACAAAAAAAAACGACGCTGCTTGGAATCGCGGAATGCAGTCATGTCAGCTGGTTTGGAGCATGTCTGTTCATAGATATTCGTATGTCGGTCCTCTATATACGAAGGAGCAGTTGGTCATGAATTGAGGCTCACTTGGGCCGCGATGAGAATTTGGTGTATGGCTACGCTTCAGCAAGAGTTCTTGCTTTGCTTCTTTTCCTAGGATTAGCTGAGTGCAGTTTTTCGAGACCACAACAGGTCAGATCATGTAGAATAGTGAGCTACGGTAGACTTCACGGGGAATGGCTTGTTAATGTGCCGAAATAATAAACGATAATCATGAGACTCCGCGCATGACCAGTGATTGTAGGCCAAGGCTGCCTCGTATGGTTGATTAGTCCAATTAGCCATCGTATGCATGCCAGTCTTGGCGTCTATTCTTTGATCATGATAGCTCCGCCTCCCCAGTGTGACAGTTCTCCAACATTCATCCTTCCAACTTCCACGAAGCCTTGGCGGCCGTAGAAGCCCTCCACGCCCTTGACACCGACCAGCCAGGATGGGGCATTCGGGTCTTCCTCCTCAACCTTACGCAGACCATCCTTGAGCAGGACGGTTCCAAGCCCAGATCCCTGGAGCTTGGGCTCGACGACCAGGGTGCTCAGGTAGTGTGCATTCTTCCTCTGATCAGTATTCAGGTACTGAGGGGTGACTTGTTCGTACACGCGCACGAATGTCTTCGCAGCCTTTTTGTCAAGATTGCGTAGCGGGAGCAGCCAGTCCCGAAGGGAGAGAAAGGCTCGGACGAGAGACCCGAACCAGTTATCTTCTCGGGTTTGGCCCCTCAATCAGTTTCCTCGTACACCTCGTTGTGGCGAGACCGGGGTGGTGGACTTACACGGCGATATCCAGCGCTCGTAAAAGGTCAGACTACTCAAAGGCCGTTTCCAGAACGAAAACCCGACAGGCTTGTCGGCGCTGTCAACACAGACGGTGAAGGTGAAGTTTGGTTCCCAGGTTCGCCTGTAGAAGAGGCGGCGGATGTCCGTAGCATTCTCGACGGGAAACTTGTGCCGGGTGGGGTAGAGGATGTCTATTAGGGCATCACGCCCAACAGTATCAAGGAATAGATCCGTACAAATCCCGGAGGCCTCTGATTTGCGGCCTGGGCGAAGACGGTATGCTTGCGAGGTCATGTTGCTGGTTTGGGGGCTAAATAGTTCGTTCTCTTGTTCGGGCCGTAGCTAGCAAATGAAGCGAGTGTCGACTCCAGACTACGAACAGGCAAATGCAACATAAAAAAACCGGACCGACCGGGGTAAACTAGCTGAAGACTAGTCTGATTGGCTTGTTGGTGATGAATACCTGAGGGTGATTAGAAGCCTGTTGATATATGTTTCTTCCACTTGGCCAAGGAGGTAGTTATAGATCAAAAGCCAGTTCTGCAGCACCCAACGTTGGGCTCATCAGCAAGTTGATCGCCGGGAGCGAGTTCGCTGAATGAGTCAAGCGGCAAGATACACCGTGACATTGTGACTCCACTACAACCACCCCTGGATGGCTGTTCCAGCGAAGCAGCAGGATGGCAGGATGGCAAGCTATCCTTTTAAGCTTTGTTTTATCTCATATCGTCTCGGCTTGTTTCGCCTTTCCGTTGTTTTGACAGCCGTTACAGACCGACTTGGCACGGTGAGAGGCCTGACCGACTACTCAGGTTGGTTAGCATCTGAGCCGGTAGCTAGAGGCTTGTCTGGTGGAAAGTCGGAGTTTAGTCGGCACCCCATCGCACCATGGCGCACGCCATCGTCTTGTCAATTTGGAATGCAGAGGCCTGATGGCTCGAGGGCTCTGCAGAACCCACAGCCATTACGTATACGTCCGTCTAGCGAATGATAGGCTGCGGCGAAAGGGAGGAGAAGAGGGAAGCAGGCATTCGGTGGGCGAGGAGATGTTTGTGCTGCACAACGTGCAGTGCCGGATAGTCAGGGACTGTCTGGGGACTGCCGAGAGAGGAGTACGTGTCGGTTCCCTGGACGAGTGACAATTGCATTCCGGGCCCCCATTTGCAGTAAGAAACACGACGTCGTATGGCGTGTCAGTCCAGGTAAAGTTGGACGAGAACAGGTACGCTCAATCACGGGACAAGGGAACAAAAAGACGGTGGTCCTGTGTGGGTTGTCTATCCACCGGGATGGAGGTTGGTGGTGACATGGAAATTGGCACACTGGAGCACGATCATGCTCTGCTTGGGTGTATGAATTAGACATTCCATTGTTAAGGATGTTCAGTCTCGGCCATGAGGAAATCCTGGATGCAGAGGCTTCATCCTGAAACCACCTCACGAAGAGTAGTGCAAGAACGAATTGCGCCTCTCGCCGGCATCGCTCCTGCCTCTGAAGAGCCTGTCTCTCTGCTGCCGGCGGATGCCGTCAGTGAAGGGTGCACGGCAGTACAGGTACCTAGCCCCCCGCTAGGCAAAGTAAGTTACAGCGACCCCCGCGCTAGGAAACAGCCCCGAGCGCCCCTCACCACTTCCACTCTGCCCCAAGCAACCCCCACCAGGACTACCACCACCACGGAGTTTGCGGTCTACGGCGCACAATGCGGACTTCGGTTAGGTCGCATTGGCATACATAAGGTGAGGTACTCTGCAGGCTTGTACCTGTTGACTACCTACCTCCCACAGCTTGGTGGTGATCCTGGCTGGTTTAGTACTGTGGTTAGGTCGGCAAGCCAATACGCGGCTCTGAAGCCTAAGCACTGTCTACAGGCCATGCCCCCGCTGGAGTCTGCAGCCAACCCCTCCCCGGGCCCTGCGACAGTGCCGATTGCATCTCTGTTGGTCTCTTGTCTCGGCTCATTTAATTAAGCCTTGTTGGCATTCTCTTTGTCTCTGTACCTGCGGCTCCAGCAGCAAGGATGATTAATTGACAAGCTTCCATGAATGCCGCGTGCCCCAAGCCCAGCCCTGCCAGCCCTTGGGTATCTATACAGGCAAGGCAAGTACTGCACGGCTGGTGGCACAGCGGTCCGGCATCTGTCCCCTGAACTGATTTGTGACCGGGCGGCTTGACCTCGCCTGACCAAGTCGATCGAGTCGTCGAGTCGTTCGGTGCATTGATTCAAAGTCCTCGTCCTTCTCTCCCTCCAGCTTGATCAGCCGAATTGCCCCGAGATTTGCCATCGTCTTTGTTTCAAATAATCAATAATCAATCCGTCGATTTCAAAAAGAATTATTCAACACTGGAGGGAACGAGCCCACAGATCGCGCTAACTCTACGGCATTGGCACTAAAGGTGAGAGACACAGGAGGAGCACTTCATGATTTCCTTTGGTGGCCGTTTTCCGTTATACTTTCCCCTTCTTGCTTCCTTTCTCGCCGTTGGTCGTTGGCTTTTTCCCCATTCCCAAACGTCTCCCACCTGTTTTAACCACCTTTGCCCCCGTCATCCTCCATCTGCCGTCCCTCGGCCCCGTCACAACTCGCTGCTCCCCCAATCCTGGCTGGTGTGCTGCACATTGGCTTGAAACCAGGCAAGAGGCTCAACAAGGCACAAACCCCGCCAGACCACGGCGTCCAGCATTGTCCTTGCATGAGAGGGACGCACCAGAGGCGAGGCCAACCGCCACTCATCGATTGCCATCCCGCGCCTTACCCAGCCCAAAAGATTTCTTCTTCTCATCACGCGTCCTTCCGGCGAGCTTCCATACACCTGGCTTCCATGCTTGCGGCTTAGTTGCGGCGCCCACCCTCCACTCACCTGCTGACCATGTTTTTTCCTACTCAAAGGCCTGGGCGACTTTCGACTCTACATAGGTAGACATTCTAAGATACACATCTAAATCAGCCCAACACAACTCCTGGACCCTTAAAGAACCGTTATCAGAAGTCCTTTGGCACCCCTCAGTGAGACAACCAGGCAAAAGTCCTCCGACAAAAAGGCCCGCATATCTGCATAGGGAAGCCCTCCAATACCCAGGGCAACCAGCAATTAGGGAAAAAATTTGTGAATCACACAGGCCCCCTCTTACCCATCCCTCTGCTTTGTAAATGGGGCGCTTTCGCCGTACTATTTAATTGCCGTTGGTTGTTCCAAGGGCGAATCTGTTGTCACTGATCCCAGAAACTTTGAGAAATGGTGAGGAAGCCTAAAGCAGCATCCTTACGGGGTTCCCAGTCTCCAATGGACGAAGACCAGGAGCGAGCCCACCGAGCCTGTGAAAAATGCACGCGGACCAAGAAGAAGTGTGACAAGGCCCTGCCATCTTGTTCGCGATGCGTGAGGTACGTACCAGATACCCTCCCTTGTAAAGCGGAATAGAAGACTGGTCCAAGTTCCCGCTGACAGTGATCCCAGGCTGGCTGCGACTTGCTGCTACGACTATGTCTTCACGGCACCTACTACTACTGTTGTAGACCCTTCAGCATATGGAGCCTCGCTTAGTCCCAAGGACCATGTCGGGGTCGTTTCAAGAAATCCCATTTTCGAACCAGAGCTGGATACACCACCCACCTTGATAATGGGATTGCTGACCTCGAAGAACATTATTTGGCGTGACTCCGTAAATCTCTACTTCCAGACGACCAACCTATGGCTCTCGGCCATTCACCAGGATCGCTTTCTCCGCAAGATCGAGACCCTCGGCCAGAACGACTCGCCTGAGGATCCATGCCTTGCCCTTCTTATCGTCTGCATGCACCTCGTAACGTCATATGCCGATGCCGGGAACCAGGTCATGCCTGACGGCACAGAGATGCTCGTCTTACCCACCTATGTTATCGCAAAACGGCTGCTCAGTATGCTGCGGGCACAAGTCGCCCCAAGCATGGAGTTGATTCAATGCGCCGCTCTTCTGTGTCTCTATGAGTTTGGCCATGGAGATTTTATGAAAGCCTATGTAACCGTGGGTGATGCATACACCACAGCAAAGTTCCTCAACATTCGACCTATAAAATATAACGAAGCGGAAAGAGATCTCCCTGTATCACCCGAGGACGAGGAGCGATGGAACCTCTACTGGGCGCTTCTCATCGTAGACAGGTAAGCCACATTTTTCGATTTGTCTTCTTCTTCGCTTCTATTCCTGAAGAAATCACTTATACATAACTTGTGTACTCTGAACCTATGTCTGACTGCTTAGACTCTTGCGCGTTGAGCGCCGCCTAATGTGGAAGCCCTTCCATGTGTCGTGCCCTGCCGATGACGATCTGCTGCCTACGACGAACATTGTGTGGAACAACCAGACGCAAAGCTCGGTCCGGATTGTGCAGCGCCATCCTGCCAACGTTTGTGCGAGCGTCACACTCGGAGCATTTCAGCGTAACTGCCAGTGCGCTATTCTGCTCACCAAGGCACTGACTTGGGAATTGGAGACACATTGGTCAGGCCGACCGCCAAGTGTCACCTCATTTGAAGAGCTTGATATAGCCACTCGAAACCTCATCGAGGCAATGTTGTTGCAGACCCCCACATGGGGAGAGTATTTCGAGTGCTTTGCAACCTGCACCTGGTAAGACAACTATCCTAATTCCTGAAAAGACCTCTCGTTTTACCATACTTACACTTCTCCCCTCCTATAGTCTACTCCTGTTGCTATATTGCAGCTATCTTCAATCAATCGACGCCTCCAACATTAACACAGGATCCTCGAACGTCGAAGTCCTAAAAGCCATTTCCGGTGTCAACTTCACTATACGAATTATCGCAGATACCATCACCGACCTCAACCGATCCCTCGCGCAGCGCCCCGACCTGCTCGCCACCTGCTCACCCGTCACTCCCTTTTCCGCCTATCATAGTCTAGCTGCTCTAAGCAACTTTGAGCACGTCATTCCAGATTCAGACTCTAGGTTCCACGATATTTACAGCTCATTACACTTCTTCGCCAAGAGGTGGGGCGTTGCTGGTTAGTCTTCCCTTCCTGAATGATATGATGACATTTTGGCGGATTTGGTTCAAGTGCCCAGATGGGCTACTGTTCCTTTCGTCCTTCCCCTAACGACATCGCACTTGCATCATTCTAACCCGATTTCGATGGTAGGCCAACTCGTGAAACGCATTGAATCTTTTCTTGCAACCAAAGACGAGAATGAGAATGCGGTGCTCGATTTCACTTTCTCGTCTCTCAACATAAACTAGAGGCCAAGCCTCATCAGCCTTCATCCCCTTTATGGTGGAGGAGATAGATGGGCTGG